CTTACTATTTTGCAGCTGCATTAAGAAGATTGGAGAAGAGAGCTGTCATGCACATGCTGAGCTGACACACACAGACGGAGATGCCAGACGCTAGAGAGCAGAAGGACGAATCCAAGTCATCGTCTGAAGATGAGCTGGAGTAAGTGTCTTTACCACTTTAAGACTTTTGATCATGCAGAATAAGTTCAGATAACGAGTGAGCAAGACTTGTGACTTTACCATCACCACTACACACAAAACTACAGCAGAGACACCCCATGGTGCACATCCACAGACGGATGACTTCACAAGGGTTATTGTGACTTGACAGGGGTGCGTTTATCAATCAACAACGTAACTGGCGTAACTAACATAGTACGATGCATCATTTGGGAAAAGAACGATGTAGTGATGAGTGTTTCCCAAAACCTGTACTTACTCTATCTCAGATTCATCGTTAGTTATAACGTAAAACGGCCATAGTGATGCTCTAAACTGGCTGAAGTAACAACTTCTTTGGAGATGAACCCCATCATTTCTTTGTGTAAATTATATTGTTTTACACACACACACACACACACACACACACACACACACACACACACACACACACACACACACACACGTAGAAAAAAATCCAATGTTAGTTTTGCTAAAAACATGCACTTGTTTTCTTTGTTAAGTAAAGTATATTTATAAACTAATGTTGAGAGGATCACATGCTTATGATTGATCACAGCTGGTCCCACATTATTCAATTAATGCTTCACCAATCAGATGATCCCTAAGCTACTGTAAATACCCTAGGCTCCATATCACAGCCATCTTTGTTTTGAAGAATCCCCCCTTCCACCCCTACTCCTCCTCCTTTCCTAGATGGTGGCACGGTGGCCCAGTGGTTAGCACTGTTGCCTCACAGCAAGATCGTCACTGGGTCTAGTCCTTACCAAGCAAGCCGACGTTTCTGTGCGGAGTTAACACGTTCTCCCCGTGCTCACGTGGACTTCCCCTGAATCCCCCGGTTTCCTCCCACCATCCAAAAACATGCAGCTTAAGTTAATTGACTAATCCAAATCGCCACCATAGACATGCTCCTAGTCAGTAGTTATCTCTTAAGAGCGATCACTGTCTGTTCATTAGCTACTACAGCAGGGGAGTTCTCAAGATCTACCTAAGCTCAAACTCCCCTCTCGCCTTGCAAACAGTAGGGAGCCCCAGACTCGAGGATCTTATGAGCTCAGGGCTCTCTCCCGGGACAGCATGCCAAACAAGCTTTAAAATCAGTCATCAGCTAAGTGTGAACTCTTGAATTGGAATATGTGTAAACGGCACATTTAGGGCCTGTGTTTACAAATATTATTTGATTAAGTGCAATTAAGATGATTAAATGCAATGAATGGCTCTTGCCAACACACTGGTGAACTGACTTTCCTTGGAAGAGACTTTGGTACCACAGAAGAATTATCCGTACACTCTTTGTCCAACAGGAAACAGCCGTGTATCGCCTGGAGTGGTGTCAGTAAACGCATTCCTGTGCTGCTATTCTGTGCTGAAGCCATTGTGTCTAAAGATGTGGCCATCCGCTCTGTTGGAGGTATACAGACACCAATTATTCATAATACAGAGGAATTTATTTAATCATAGTTCTGCACAATGGAGAAATTTAAAGGTGACTTTTGTTGACATTTTCAGTTTTGTCGATTTTTTTATTTATTATTTTATTATTTTTTTATTTTATTTGATTTGTGTTGTGTCAAACTCGTGCAGACATTTTGTTATAAACTGTCTGAGTTTCTTTACGTATGATAATTTGAGCCGTTTGAATCACCTACCAGTTTCGACGTAATAAGCTAGTTCTTTACATGCACGTACAAAATGGTGTATTTAGTATTTCTGCATTTGTACACCAAAGTGGTTCTTTATTAATTTATTACTATAGCCGTTTTAACGGTGTGCACTGCCTGACAAAAGTCTTGTCGTTGATGCCAGTTGTAATAGCTCGACTTCTAGTTGACCGTTTTGAAAAGTGGCAGAAGGTAGATTTTCCTGATTGATCATCTGCTGCATCCTAATCATCACCAATACTGGAGAAGACCAGTTGGAGCCCGACCTATTGGAAGGTCAAGGTGCTCCAGGATTGGCCAGCCCAGTCATCAGACATGAACATTATTGAGCATGTCTGTGGTAAGATGAAGAAGGAAGCGTTGAAGATGAACACAAAGGATCTTGATGAGCTCTTAGAGTCCTGCTGAAGGCTTTCTTCTTCATTCCAGATGACTTTATTAATCAGTGATTTGAGTCATGTCAGAGATGTATGGATGCAGTCCTCCAAGCTCATGATGGAGTCAGACACAATATTCATTCTGTCTCCACTGCAACAGGACTTTATATTCTATACTGGACATTATTTCTGTTCAGTGATGAGACTTTAGTCTGAGCAGAGTCAGATCTTACTGTCCTAATCAAATCATTAATAATCAAGGCATGATCAGATTTTATTGTGCTCAAATAAGCGTCATCTAGAGGCCTTTACCTTTTATATTAGACACTTCTGACACCAAATGATCAACTAGAAGTCCAGTTATTATTTGTTGTTCATAAAACTTGGATATGAGACAAGACTTTTGCTTTTGGTTGCAGTACAGAAACGAAAGACCCCAATATACGTTACATCGGTTGTGTCTGAATGTGTTGCACTACTAGTAAATTATGTGTGTGTGAGCTGTGGCTAAGTATGGTAACCAATATTATGAATTTAGCTTGACTAGCTGATTACTGCTTTTATAAAACCTGCTATTTGCTACATGCTAGAATGTTAAGGCAGTTTTTCTTTTTCATATAGAAAAATATAACTTGGCCTTCAAGATTGTGCGAACAGAGAGTCGTCTTGTGCGTGGCATACTGGTCAATCATGGATTCCATGAGGTAGAGCAGCAGACATTACTATAAGTGCATTGTGCATTAGTTGATGTTAATGCTGTCTTTATATTGTATTGTATTGTATTGTATTGTATTGTATTGTATTGTATTGTATTGTGTGGATTGTATTGTGTGGATTGTATTGTATTGTATTGTATTGTATTGTATAAGCTGGCCACAGGCTACAACTCAACTTCTTTAGGCTAAGCTCCAATGATTAGTGTTGATAATGACTCTAAATAAGTAACTTTTAAAGGATCTTTTTAATTATTTATTACTTATAATTATATTACTTATTAATTGTTTAACTTAAATGAACATGTTGTTGGTGTCTAGGTGCACCCAAACAGCAATGATTTTAACCTGATGTGGACCGGCTCACACCTGAAGCCTTACCTTCTGCGCTCTCTGCAGGATTTCCAGAAAGTCAACCATTTTCCCAGGTTTGTCTGTCAATGCTTTTCTGTTCTAACTAAATTGTTAATAAGCTAAACTCTGACCACACCAAGTATGAAAATATAAAGGATTAGGGCTGGTTGTTGACAAAGCTTTCCCTTGGGATTTTTTTCAGTGTACCCATTTTCTTTAAAAGGGAGCTATTTTGCAAAAATGAGTTTTATAAGGGTTGTGAGTTGTGTGTCTGCAGTGTGTGAATATAAGCAGCTTCTAATGGTAAACATGTATTAATTGTATTGTTAATAATGTATTAATTGTATTGTTAATAATCAGACCCACACAATCCCTTTGTGCGGGTCATCAGAGGGGGAAAGCCCCGCCCACTAGTGACCTCTCCCTCATTAGCATAGGACATTAGTCTTGTTGTATCTGCCACTATCCTGACACACAGGCATTTGTAGCATCGTCCTATTTTGAAAAGAGCAGAATCTCATTTGAATTTTTGTAGTAAAGAATTTAGGTGTGAAATCAAAAATCTAACCAATCAGGGACCCTTCAGTCTCCCATGGCATAATTTTTCCAGAATGTATATCCACTTTGAGTCTCCAGTATCAGTGTTCATATATATATATATATATATATATATATATATATATATATATATATATATATATACATACATACATATATATATATATATATATA